TCTATTATAAAGAAGCCTCGATTTTTCCTTTGTCTTTCCTTCGTATCCTGCATTGGTGTCATTTTCAGGGCATCCATTGTGTGCTTTATTCAGATTTTTATTGTTAGGGCCATAATTTTCAGAATAGTCATCTGAAAATAATTCACCTTGGCCAAAGTTTTCTTGTTCGTGCATCTCGATTGTAGGGTCATGGTACAAAGAGTTGTATTCGTCTAGCCTTAGAGATCCTTCATGTTCAGGGATTGCCTTTTCCTATACTTTTCTAATGCATTGGCATTCCTCTGAGTCGTCCACATATTTCATGGAGTTGAATACATTGATGGTGACGTTTTGCTCTCCTACTCGCATTGTGAACTCTCCCTTTTCACAGTATATTAGGATTCTTCCAGTGGTTAAAAAGGGTTGTCCCAGAATGATAGGTGCATTTTCATCGGCTTCGCAGTACAAGATGGGGAAATCAACTGGAAATACGAATTTTTTCACCTTTACTATGACATCTTCTATTCTGCCCTCGGGCCGCATATAAGACCGATCGGCTAGCTGTAGGATCACTGTGCTTGGACAAGCGTGATACCCTTCTAGTGTCATAAATATGGAATTTGGTATCAAGTTTACACTTGATCCCAAATACACAAGAGCTCGTCCTACAAAGTCATTACCAATTGAACATGGTATTATAAAATTGCCTGGGTCTTTTTGTTTTGGTGGGAGTTTGCTTACTGCATAACAGATTTCTGTTGCCGTGGCAACACGTTATACCTTCCTTTTCTTCGTAACTATGTCCTTAAGAAACTTGGCATAGGATGGCATTTGCTCAATGGCTTCAAGAAAGGGAACATTGATATACAAGTGGTCTAGAACATCAACGAATTTCTTGAATTGGATGTCATCGTTATATTTTTTCAATAATTGAGGGAACGGTGGTGGAGGTCTCACATTATCTATTATTGGTGCTGAGGAATCTCTGGCCTTGACCATGAATTTCTCATTATTTAGACGATGTTTTTCTGAGCCTTCATCCTTTTCCTTTTCTTTATGCAATTCATCATGTTCCTCATTTTCTGCTCCATCCTTTAGTTGTGTGTTATGCCATGGCAATGACTCTTTAGGTGTTTTCCCCCAAACTTGTTGTTTTGGTTTAACTGTGTTCCACTCGTTAGTGTAAGTACACTGCATTTCTTTTTTCCATGATGTTTAGTGATCTCAATATCACTAGGGAGATTTCCTTGTGGGCGAGAATATAATGTTGTAGCAATTTGGCCCACTTGATTCTCCAATGCTCTTAGAGATGAACTATGGCTTTACAAACAAATTTCCTTAGTTCTTAATTATTTTAGAATGCTCGTGCATCAAGGTCTTTGTTGAGGCCATAAATTCCTATAATGACAACTCCAAGGAGTTAGTATTGGAATTAGTATTAGAAAAAAAAGCTTTACCTTTATTTTTTTTCCAGGGAAACTGATGATGTTGATTTTGAAAATGTTGATGGTATGCGTTACTTTGTTGTGACCTGTTGTAACTGGCTGCTTGATTGTTATTGTTCCCTTGATTACTCCATGAAAAGTTCGTAGGGAATAAGGGAAGGGTTTTAGTTTAAGCACATCTTCATGCACTCCTTGTTGTCGAAAAGAGTCGCACAATTCAAGGAAAACACGAATATGTTGTCTAGCATCCTCATTGGGTGAACCACCAAATTGGCCAATAGAATTTAACATATTAAACATCATTGGTTTAAGTTCAAAGTGAGTTGCTAGTATCTCAGGTTCCACTATGCTTGGATTGAGGTCATCGAGAATTGGGTTCAAATGATCTCGTATTGCTCTTGGTCTTGCAACTTGAAGATTAATTGTTGCATCTGGATCGTCATGATCTCCTATGTTGTTGCCCTATAATTGTAGTTGGTTTAAATGTTCTCTGGTTCTTTGGTCACGTAGCCTTTGTCTGAATGATTGTTCAACTTCAGGGTCGAATGCTTCCAATGGTTTACCAGCAGATCTTAGGTCATGTAATAAATACCTATAAAAGAAAATAATAAACTATGTTAGACTATATAAATATAAGGTGACAAGAAAAACTTATTATGGTGAATAAAAATTTCTTCAGTTGTCAATCCCCAGCAACGATGCCAAAAACTTGATCGCTTGTAAATGTATATGCTAAGGCAAGCAATTATGTGAAAGTATACACAATCGAATCAAGTAATATAGGGTAAGTGAGTTATCGTCTCCTCAGGGATTGATATACGATTTTAATCTTCACCACAACTAGAACTAGTTGTCACACGCTAATTCCTACTATCTTGTCAAACTAAAAAGCTAATATTAATAAAACAAGGAAATACTATAATGTATGATTGAAGGAAAGTTTTATCGAGAAAAAATAAATATGCAGACTATTAAAATAAAAAATAAAGACAAGTGTTTATTTAAATATAATGCAAACAACCTCACATATTCAGACTTACCACATAGCACTTATGCTAATCTTTTGCATTGACAAAAATTAACCTAAGTCTAGAATGAATTATTATGACTTGCTTAAGCTTCCTGAAAGGATTACTAAGTATTCTTAGACGGTTGCTATAGCAATACTACTCAGCGTTAACTACAACCCATGGTTTTTCAGACTGTTATTGTAGCAATACCTCTCAGCGTGAACTATAGTCGTTGTCTATCCTACTCTAGTGTCTATCCATTTTAGACGATTGAAACCCGCTCATTATCTCTAAGGTAGACAAGTTAGAACATCACCATCTTGAATCCATTCCATTGTTCACGTAGATCTATCTTAATTCTCTCGAATCTAATAATCATTATATAGACAAAAGGCGATCTCTCGATGCTCATACATTGCCAAGACATGTTTTACCAAAACCCCAGGCAATCTCTCGAAGCTCTTACAGTGTCAAGGTAAAATATTTAAACAATGAACAAAATAGTCATGAGAAAAAACATAATTCATCATTCATAAAGCATAAAATGATTGTCTAGTTAAGACAAAGATTAACACCAAGTAAGACAGTCATGGTGCTATCAAAAAATCATCCAAGTATCATCGTTTAATACAACCCCAAACATGTAGTGAAATTAAGAACAAAGGAAGAACGACTCCCAAAACTGGGGGCTCTATCGTGACAATTCTGATCAGCACCGCGCCTGCCTTTGTGATCAACCTCTCTCGAGACCTGATCACCGCTCTACTATAGTCTGGCTACGGAGGACACCAAGGAAGGTCGGTTGGTAAACGGTGGGAAAGCACTGCAGTTGCTCGCTCACACCTTCAGCAAAGCTCTTCTCTCTTCTTCCTTGCCTCCTTTTCTTTGGCGGTTACGACTGGATATTTATAGGGCGGAATCTCCTAGGGTTTTGCATGATTGAAGATTCCTTAAATAATCATTATTATTCGTCCAGACTAAAAAAGGAAAGGCGGTTGGTGACTGTCAGAATATTTAGGGCTTGCTTGCACATGAAGGAGGTCATCCAGCTGGCATGTGACATAGGCAATTTTGTCATATCCGCTTCATACCTTGCAGATAAACCTTGCCTTGGCGAGATAAATATACTCCTCACGTTCTTCTCTGTTCCATTGTCCCTTGCAAATTACGTTTTCACGACTAAAATGTTCTTCCTCTATAAGTTTTCTACACATACACAATCCACACAAACCCTTTCTCCTCAGCAGCATCAGTTAAACCAAATAAATCTTGCCGAAGCAAAACTTATCCACCACAAGAAAATATAACCCAAATGCAACTAAAATGTTGTGCATACTTTGTTTAGACGAGCAATAACTAAAGTGAAAAGACTAGAAATTGAGCCTTTTTACGGAGTTATCAGTATTTTTCTTTTGAATTCAATTTTCTTTCATTCAATACTTTGTATTATGCTCTTTGGAATTTAATTTTTAGTCATTCTATGTGGGATATTTTTCCTCTCACATATACACATTTCGTTTCTCCTTCAGGCCCCAAGATAATGATAATACAGGCATTGATGATAATGACCCGGAAGTGGATTTTGAATAGTTCGTTTGTCTTGGGGAAGTTGATGAATATGATAATGAAGACGAGTGCAATTTACCTTCCGAATTGTTAAGGATGATAGAAAGAGAAGACAAGAAAATATTTCCACATGAAGAGAAAATTGAAGTCCTGAATCTGCGTACAGAAGATGAAAGAAAGGAAGTCAAAATTGGCACAACAATCTCGACTGAAGCAAGCCAAAAATTAATATTCTTACTTCAAGAATACATAGATGTGTTTGCATGGTTGTATCAAGATATGTCGGGACTAGATATAGATATGGTAGTCCACAAACTACGCATCGAACTATAATGCAAATCTGTGCAACAAAAGCTAAGGAGAATGTGACCTGAAATGCTCTTAAAGATCAAGGAAGAGGTCAAGAAACAGTTCGATGTTGGCTTCCTTCAAGTTGCCAAGTATCTGGAATGGGTGGCTAACATAGTGTCGATTCCAAAGAAAGACAGGAAAGTATGCATGTGTGTCGATTATTGAGACCTTAACAAGGCAAGTCCCAAAGATAACTTTCCTCTGCCACACATAGACACTTTGGTGGATAATACCACCGAAAATGCTTTCTTCTCATTCATGGATGGATTCTCGAGATATAACCAGATTAAGATGCATCCTAAGGAAATGGAAAAACCCAAATTCGTCTCAATGTGGGGAACTTTCTGCTACAAGGTGATGCCCTTCAGGTTAAAGAATGCTGGGGCAACATATCAAAGAGGCATGGTGACCTTGTTTTATGACATGATGCATAAAGAAATTGAGGTCTATGTTGATGACATGATTGTCAAGGCACAAACCAAAAATGAATATATCAATAATCTGAAAAAGCCCCTTCAAAGATTAAGAAAGTTTCAGCTGAAACTGAACCCCAACAAATGTAACTTCGGGGTAACATCTAGAAAGTTGTTAGGCTTCATGGTCAGCAGGAGAGGCATCAAAGTCGATCCAGATAAAGTCAAAGTCATCCAGAATTTACCTCTCTCATAAACACATAAATACGTTCGAAGTTTTCTGGGCAGTTTGAATTACGTAGCATGGTTCATATCTCAACTAACCAAAAAGTGCGACCCAATTTTTCGCCTTCTTCGAAAAAATAACTCTAGAATGAGATTAGGATTGCATGCCTGCATTTTAGAAAATAAAAGAATACTTATCTCGCACTCCTATCTTAATGTCCCCCATCCAGGGTAAACCTCAATTCTTGTATTTATCCATATTCGAGAATTAAATGGGGTGTGTTCCGGGTCAGCGTAATGAATCCGGGAGGAAGGAAAGGGACATTTAGTACTTGAGCAAGAAGTTCATTGATTGCGACGTTAGAAAATACATGTTGTACCACACTACTTTGTTGATTTCTAAGTTAGACCCACTAAAATATATGATGGGTGTGCCTGCGCTCTCTGGAAGGTTAGCCCGATGGCATATGTTATTATCTAAATTCGACATCGAGTACGTGAGCCAAAAAGCTATAAAGAGAAGTGTCGTATCGGATTTCTTGGCAAGCAGAACTATTGAAAATTATAAGCCACTGGACTTTGACTTCCCATACGAAGACTTGATGGTTATATGTTTAGAAGAAGCAAGTGCTTCCAAATGCGATTCCTGGAAAAAACGTTTTGATGGTGCATCAAATACATTAGGACATGGTATTGGGGCAATATTGGTCTCCCCTGAAGATTGAATTTTGATTGCACCAACAATATGGCGGAGTATGAGGCTTGTGTTTTGGGGATTCAAGCTAATATTGGACAAAATATAAAGACCTTGCGGGTATATGGAGATTCGGCTTTAGTGATCTAACAGCTCCGTGAAGAATGGAAGACAAAGAATGTAAAGTTGGTGGAATACCAAAAGCTAATATTGGATCAACTCAAAGAATTTGATGAAATCTCTTTCCATTATGTGCCTAGAGAATAAAACAAATGGTCGACACTTTAGCTACCTTGACAGTTGCATTCTAGGTTGGCGGGGAGTCTGATATGATGCCAATTAACATGCAGTTGTATGAGTACCCGGCTCATTGTTAACAAATCGAGAAAGTAAAAGACATTAAGCCCTGGTATCATGATATCCTGCAATACATCAAAAACTGGAGTTATCCAGAGGAAGCCACTAAAACTGATAAAAGATCTATTAGAAGGATGGCGGCTGAATATGTTCTTGATGGAGAAGTCTTGTACAAGAAAAGCCATGATCAGATCCTCTTGAGATGTGTAGATACGGAAGAGGCAAAGATGATATTAAAAGAGGTACATAACGGAGTTTGCATGCGAATGGACATATGATGTTAAGGCAAATTATGAGATGCAGATATTTCTGGTCCACATTGAAAAGCGACTGCATCAAGTATGCTAGAAGATGTCACAAATGTCAAATTTATGGGGATAAAATCAACATTGCACCTCAACCTCTTCATGTAATGACCGCACCATGGACATTCTCTATTTAGAGCATGGATGTTATTTGGAAAAAATGATCATCGTTTCATTCTTGTGGCAATCAATTATTTCACGAAATGGGTAGAGGCTGCATCGTATGCCAGTGTCACTCGGTCCACTATTTGTAAGTTCTTGAAAAAAGAGATCATATGTCGGTATGGTTTACCTGAAAGAATCATTACAGATAATGCCACGAACCTTAACAATAAGATAATGGATGCTTCTTAACATAAATCATCACAAGTCTACTGTTTATAGACCGAATATGAATGGAGCAGTAGAAGCGACAAACAAAAACACCAAGAAGATAGTGGAGAAACAACTGAGACATACAAAGATTGGCACGAGAAATTACCTTTTGCTCTGTTTGCTTATCGAACCTCGGTATGAACTTAGACTGAGGCAACCCCGTTCTCATTAGCATATGGGATGGAGGCAGTAATACCCATTGAGGTAGAAATTTTGTCACTCCAGGTCTTGTCAGAAGTTAAACTAGATGATGTAAAATTCGTCCAAACTTGATATGATCAGTTGAACCTAATAGAGGAAAAGAGGTTAAAAACCATTCACCATGGTCAACTCTACCAAAAATGAATGATCCGAGCGCATAATAAAAAATGTGCACTCAAGAGTATTCCACGAAGGAGATCTTGTACTAAATAGAATTTGTCCAATTCAAAAAGATTTCAGAGGAAAATGGATGCCAAATTGGGAATGACCGTATGTTGTAAAGAAGGCTTTCTCCGGGGGAGCACTGATTCTGACTGAAATGGATGGGCCAAAACTGCTAAATCCCGTTAATTCGGATGCAGTCAAAAAATATTTTGCTTAGGGTGAAAGTCCGAAAGGGTGCCCTAAGTTGAAAAAAAGGTGGGTCCAAGAAGAAAACCCGCAAAGGGTGTCTTGAAACCAAGGACGGATTCAAGTTGAAAACCCTAAAAGGGTAATTTGAATGAGGATTTAGGAAAGGTTATGCGTCACGACATCCAAATCTTCTTCAGACTTAACGATTTAGGGAAATGTGACACTTTCGAACATTGTCTCATTTTCATAGTCTCCTTGACAAAGGTTGTACTCAAAAGTCATCTAACGGCGTATCAGTTCAAAGGCGTCCGCATTATTGAGATCTAAGACATTTACTTATATTTTTTTTTGACTTTCCAAAATGTTTGTTATATACGTTGTTCCTCTTTCCTTATACATAAATATGGCCATTTCTCTAAGTTAATTCATTTTAAACATCTTGGGTTGAATTTAAACTTAATGATTTATTCACTTTTGAAAAGATAATTGTGTATTAATGTACAAAGATTTTTTTTGAAAGGTACAGATATTCGAAAGCCGATCATGGCTTATGCACTATACTTGAGATAATGGAAAGGCATTGCCTAAACCAAGACTAAGGATAAATTTTTTTACATCAGAGTTAAGAACGGTGAAGAATCCAATATCAAGATCAGAAATTCAAGATTTCGGAACCAAAAGTTATTAAGATTGACAACCAGAGATTGAGATTTCTCTCCAAATCCTAAAATAACATATTTCACATATGCATTTTAGGCACACATAAGAGCATTTCATCCATAGCATCGCATATATGCATAATTTTGTAGATTCTTGCCAGAGTCAATTTCAAATTTCACATTGAAAGATATTGAACTAGAAGAGACGCAATGTGCAAGATTGGATTCCAACTTTACAATATCCAATTCAAAGCTCAACTTCACAGTGAAGGAGCCATCCACGATTTCAACTTCACGAAGAAGGATATAGTGCCCAATGGATTGACTTAGTGTCACAACAAATGAGTTATCTGCAACAACAGATGGGTCACCCCCATCCTAGTATAGCATAACTCAAGGCAAGAAGAGTCATCTGTCAACTTTCGAGTTCGATTCCATTTAGTTCGAGGACGTATTTATCGCAAGGTAGCAGCAAGGAACTACTTTCCGGTTAAATTTTCATACCACGTCTTTAAGCCAAGAAGAATACCAAGGTTGATTAAGATTAGCAATAAGAAGCCACTTTCCTATTCAAATTTTGAATTATGATCTCAGCTTCATAATGAAAGATATCATTGTTTGCAGACAATTCCGGAGTCATCCACAGCATGGCTCAACAACAGGAAATCGTTCCCCTCTTCCACAGTGGATGGTAGTTGAGAAGAATTCAACGGCTACCTTAAGTTGAAATTTCAAGCTCAAAAGTCAACCATTATCACATAAACATACTACCCATACTCACCGACAAAAATTTATGCCTCTTTGTCTTTGCCCTATTTTCGTTACACGATAATGGGCAAAGATGGGCATTTGTAGACACTCATTTTCGTCGGGGGTGCTATCTAATATATATATATAATTTTGAAAATATAAAATATATAGTTTTAAAAAAACTTTTTGAAAACATATATATAATATATAGTTTTTGAAAATATTTTAAAAATATATATAATATATAGTTTTTGAAAATATTTTGAAAATATAAATAATATATAGTTTTTAAAAATATTTTGAAAATATATAATATATAGTTTTTGAAAATATTTTGAATATATATTATATAGTTTTGAAAACATTTTGAATATATATATATATATATATATATAATATAGTTTTTGAAAATATTTTGAAAATATATATAATATATAGTTTTTGAAAACATTTTGAATATATATATATATATTATATAGTTTTTAAAAACATTTATATATTATATAGTATAATATTATTTATTATTTATTATTCTAATTTATTATTTATTATATTCATTTTATTTTTTATTTATTTATTTTCTTTCTTTTTTATTTTTGTTATTTGATCCAAACAGGGAGTCCAAGTCTAGTAAGGCATGAAGGAGCCCAATAGGTTGGCAGGCTTAACCCAGCAAACCGACCCGACCAAGAGTCCAAGAAACCGACTCGACCCAAGTTCACCTTACCCAGCAAACTAGGGTTTTCAACTTAAGTAAAAGCGACGCACAATTCTTAGTTGTGGGATCAAACATCAATCAAATGGCTCAGATCACACATCAGCTAGGGTTTGTAAAACCCTAAAAATATTATCATGCACCGCACAATCCTGAGCCATTGGATCTGCAGCCAATCCAAAGGCCCAAAACAGACCACCGAGAAAAATAAAGTTCGGCCGATTTGAAGAAATCTTCCCCTAATGAGAAACAATTTTTTCTAGCAACAACAACAATCAACCAACAACGTGATTCCATAGGATTCAAAAACATGTATTTTTATCCTAATGAAACACTAAATCGAATGAAAATAAGGGACTCCTAATGCTATAAATCCCTGCAAAAATAAAAAACAAAGACAAGTTAGATCGAATCAAAAATATCACTTGTAACTCGAAAGGAAATCAATAAAGAAGGTATTTTTCTTATCAGCTTGCTTGCATGTGGTATTGTTTGGGTTTTTTATTTTCGAAAGAGAGTAGCCGATGATCCGGGAAGGGTTTTTCGAAAAACTTTCCTCAGATCTAGCCCTCCCTGAGGCTCTTTTGTGAAAATAAATCGGATTTTTGAAAAGAGGAGATAATAGGCTTTCGAACGGTGTAAAAATATTTTGGGTTCACCGTCGATGAACGGCAGCCGACGAGGCGGAGCATGGCCGGATTATGGGTTTCAATTGAATGTTCTTCGTGTCATGAAGAACACGAAGAACATTTCAGAGGTTTTGTTTGAAATGGTTTTGATAGATTTCAAGGGGAGGAAAAAATGAAATTTGTTTCTGATTTTTGGGCTTTATAGCCAACCCAAAAACCCGACCGGATCCCCTAAGGATCCGCTTGTTTTCACACGGGTAGGGGCTAATTGTAGAGTTAGTCCCTAATTTATTTTTAAGACTTGTTTTATGCCTTAAATTCGATTTTAGTTCCGATTTTTCTTTTCAATTCACCCCTCATTGTATGTTATTTTTCAATTTGGTCATTTCTTTCTTTATTTTATGTTTTATTTAATTATATTTAAAAGATTATCACGCTTTATGAGTCATTAATCTAATAATAACCATTCTTTCATTTTTATTTTTTATTTTTTATTATTTCTTTTATTTTTATCTTAATTTTAGTAATTTTTATCTTTGTTTGTATTTAATTTTGCAATTGACATAATTTAATTGACTTTTTCTTACATTATTTTTTTTATTACTTTGTGTTTTTAATATGTGTGATTTGTTTTTGTTCTATTTATTTTCATTTTTGTTCTATTTATTTTAATTTCTTGGCATGTATATATTTCTTTTTCTGTTTGGTCTAAATTATTATAATTTAATTTTTGTTTTTTTATCAATTCAGTACTTCATTTTTTTATATATTTTTGACCTTTTAGGGGTACTCTTAAATCAATTAAAGGTAAGTAATTTGGATCAAATTTTTACTTATAATTTATCTTGCAATTTTCTTAATTAAGACAAGTGGAAATTAAATTAGTACTGATAGGGCAATACAAGGGTGTTAATCCTTCCTTGACTGTAACAGACTCCCGAACCTGACATATTTCTGGTAAAACGCAGATCAGGTAAAAAGGTGTCCGATCGACCTAGTTTCTATGTTTTAAAAATAAATGATCGGTGACGACTCTAACCCATTTATTCAAGTCGAAGCCCAATTTCGAGCCCACCCAAAAGACAGTTGCGGCAGTAACCAAACTTCAAAACTAGATTAGATAAAGTGTCATGGTCAAGCGTTTTATACTTATAATAAAACACTTCATGAAAATTGATAGGAAAATTCTAGAGCTCTCGACGAACAACGATGAGTACCACTAACGACGAGTACCATTAATTTAATTTATAAAAATTAAATTTTTAAATAACTTAACGTATAATTATAAATTAGTTAAAAATTTAAACATAAATTATTTTAAATAATGGGTAAACTATATCAATGCCCACCTAACTATTGCCCATTATCATTTTGACCAATATTTTTGAAATTTGCCAATCAAGTCACTCAACTATTTAAATGCATTCAATTAAGCCACTTGCCGTTAATATTTAACGGAGAAGTTGATGTGGCAGTTAAAATATTTGGTATAATTACACATTTGATCATTTTTACTATTCTATCAATTTGATCCTAATTTTAATAAATTAAAATAAACTTTACCCTCAAATCTTTTAAAATTAAAGATTAAAATGAACGAAACTGGTTATCCCAAAATGAAAACTGTAAAAACATCAATGTAAAGCATTTTAGTATGGTTTAGCCTTAAATACATATTCACTTTCCAGTCCCCTTTACTTTGCACAACAAGCCTTGAACTCTAAAGACATCATTTTCTGTAGATAGCAGACAACGTCTACCGCATTTTTTCCTGGTTCTCTTTAATGAGCCATTGTTGGTAATTACTAATTAGAAGCTGATGTCCTACATGCATGAACATTTGACCTCGAGAGAAAGTCCATGGCAATAAGAAGAAAATGCAAGTGACGATAACTCGAGAATTAATGAAATTACCTGACATTCCTCAAATCCTTTCCAGCCCTCAGAGTTGAGTTTCTTAACCGCAATGGGGGTTCCACTTCCACTCTTCCCTACCCACTTCTCATCGAACCAGCCTTTGAAAACTTTACCTCAGCCTCCCTCACCAAGTACCATCTCAGGCCTAAAATTCTTAGTTGCAGTCTTCATTTCAGCAAAACTGAAGTCCCTTGGGTTAGGGGTGGGCAAAATTTGCCCATCTTGAAAAGCCTCGTCCCCTCGAAGCCGAGAACCTGCTATCCCGGGAGATGTTACTGCCCCTAGATGTTGTGTTACTGGTTGTCCGAGATTTGACTATGGAAATCGACAGAATTGAAATGTGCATACCAATACGTCGTAACTTTTAAAATATTTTAAAATTAAAGATTTGAGGGTTAAGTTTATTTTAATTTATTAAATTATGATTAAATTGATAGAATATATAAATAACAGTGACCAAATGTGTTATTATACCAAATAATTTAACTGTCACATCAGCTTCTCCGTTAAATATTAACGAAAAAATGACTTAATTGAAAGCATTTAAAAAGTTTGAGTGACTTGATTGATAAAATTTCAAAAATATTGGTCAAAATAAAAAGAAACAATAGTTAGGTGGTCACTAGAATAATTTACTTTTATTTTAAATAATTTATCTTTAAAATTTTAACTAATTTATAATTATACGTTGAGTCTTTTATAATTTAATTTTTTTAAATTAAATTAATGATACTCGTCTTTAATAGTTCTCATCACTGCTCTATCCAATTTATAATATGCAAATTTAATTGTCAAATTTCGTATTATATGTCAATTTTCAAACACCTTTTACTTTCTTCTCTTTTTAAAATCGTCGATTAGAATTTTTTACATTTTGTGTTTTATATTAATTAAAATCAGAATATTCAAACTTGACTATGGATGGATTGAACAATCCACTTGAGTTGCAAAATTTATTTATTTACACTAATAATAAAATAGAAAGATCCAAATATAGAAAAAAATACATGATTATCAAGCAATAACCCTAAAATGGACAGTTTTTTTAATATTAAAAAGGAAGAGAAATATTTTACAACTCTTTTCTCGCTCCTACGCAGAGGTCACGTGCAATATGTGGGTACAACATCGTGCTTTCCGCTTCTCTGCAATTCTGCAAATCCACCACCCACTTGATTAAGCCACAAATTAGACAAAATAATACAAATTTACAGCAGCTGCAATATCGTTTTTAACTATTCAAACTCTTATTATATATATATATTTATATAATAGCAGAAGTTAAGTTAATGGTACATCGAAATTCGCCATGGCCACCGCTTTGATAATGAAAGTATGAAACCAGAAATAATAAAGACAAAAGATAGGTTTTTCTTAATTTAAGACTGATTTAATTGATGTTTATAGATGATTTACTAAAGGCTATTTAATTAAATATTTTAAATTTTTAACATTTAGTTTATATTAAAATTTAAACACTTATTGTATTTTTTAAATAAATAATTGTTATAATTATTTTTTATTTTTCTTATTATCTAATAATTAATAGTTTTTTGAAAGTCACCACCTAAATTAAACTCCTCCAATTGGCCTGGAACCTTGTTCCCCTTTCCTTCGTTCTCTCCTCCTCTCCTATTTTTAGCCAACTCTGTTTCACTTCCTCTGTTCTTTGCCCTTTTAACTTTTCTTCTTAATTCTCTTTCTTCCTGCATTGCTCATTGCATGAAAAATAAGAAAAGTTTGGTCAATATCCTTTTGATTCTTTATCTCTTCGATCAGATTCTTTCATAATAATGACATCCTTTTCCTTTTGAAATCCCTTGTCCTTTTTCAGTTCTCTCTTTCTTTGCCATTCTTTAGAAGTTTCAACTTTTGCCTCCACATTCTCAAAATCCAAGGTAAAAAAAATCTCTTTTTTGAGCTTAAATTTGGCTCCTTTCATTTAGACTTTCTGGGGTCTTGTGTTGTTTTCAGGTCTGGTTTTTCACCTGGAATAATGGGTTATCTTGTTTCTATTTGATAGACTTAATTTCATGCTTTGAACCATGCTAATTGTTTCAATTGTTGGTTGAGTTTGGGGTTCTTGTTAGAGGTTGTTTATCTTTCTTGGATGTATTGGTGATTGACTATATAAAAAATGGCTTTGAATTGGGATGGTTTTTCGAATTCTTTGAGCTTTTGGAGCTGCAATTGGGATGTGGAAAATGATCATTTCAGTGGAAGTGGCAAAAGTGAACCAATAGGCATTTCTGAGGCTGTTAATGATGATATTGTTGACAGATTGCCTGCTGATCCATTTGGGATGGAACTTAGGTCTACTTTTGCTGCGGCAATCACAGGTTGGATTCATGATGTTGAGAATGATTTGGGTTCAGATTTCTGTGTGTTTGGCATGCAAGATGGTGAGGAAAACAAGATTGCTGATCAACAGCATTTGTTCAAGGGTCTGAATTGGGTTTGGAATGGGGCCATGAGTTTCCAACAGGAAGAAGGCAATTCTAGTTTCCATGGATTTGGTTCAGAAGATGATGGTAAAAGGATTGATGATCAATCATCTTTCTTTAAAGGTATGAATTGGGTATGGAATGGAACCATGAGTTTTCAACAGGAGGAAGATAGCTTTGAAATCGACGAGATATCGGTCCCAAACGAACATTATAATGGAATTGGGATCGGTAATGGACTTTCCAATGAAGATTTTGCATTCGATGAGGATGGCAATGGAGTTTCCGACGATGATAGCGAAGGAGATGCTCCAAATACTGCTTTGTTTTATACTCTCGGTTATCTCGGTGTTAAGGATCTCCTTGGTGTCGAAAGGGTCTGTAAATCGTTGCGCGATGTGGTTAGAAGTGATCCTCTTCTTTGGAGGAACATCCATATTAAACATTCATTGAGTAAGAGAATTACTGATGATGCTCTCTTGAAATTAACTAGCAGGGCTCAAGGCACTATTGAATGCTTGAGTCTGGTGGGATGCAAAATGATCACTGATGATGGTCTGAGGCGTGTGCTTGAAAGCAATCCCAAGCTCAATAAGGTTGGTGTTTGCAGTGCAAGCTGCTTTTATCAAGCCAATATGTTTTACTGTTTATATATAGTAATTGGTTTCGTTTATAATTCATAGATATGCATGTACCTTAAGGACTGGCACTGTCAAATTGTTTGTTTTAATTGATTTAGTACTTGTTTTGCCTCTTTTTTTCATGTGCTAGTGGTGCTTGGATCTGAAGGTGCAAACTCGAGTTTCATGTTAGCTACTGTCGTTCGTTTTTAGATACCCAGTTGATTGGTGTGATTAGTGTGTATCGATCTAATTGAATATCGTCTTGGCATGTAGAGCATTTGATGAATTCTCACTCCCGGATTGTTGTCTTTGCTTTTGATAACAGTCACAGGATTGGTATTCTATGGAATGGCCATTGAACTTAGAATTCATTCATTTGCTACTCTTGCAAATGTCATATAATCATATTATTGCCAAGGTTTTTGTTCTCTATGAAGTTGATCAATTTTCGATATTTTCGTGCAGTTAAGTGTTCCAGAATGTACGAGACTTAGCATTGAGGGCATTTTGTTCAATTTAAAAGCTCTCAAATCTGCAGGGTTCTCAGGAATAAAACATTTGAGAATAGGCGGAAGTTTTAGCGTAACTGAAGAACAATTTGGAGAGTTGAAGTTATTGCTCGGGAAACATAATTCAATGCAATCGGGAGAGCCAAAACCACAATTTTTTTGTCAGGGTCAATCCTACCTCATGTCTGATGATGATAGGGCAATTGATATTGAAGTTTGTCCCAGATGTCAGAAATTGAAACTCGTCTATGATTGTGCATCGCAAAGATGCAGAAGAACCAATCATGCAGCTCAGTTGTGTAGGGCTTGCATTCTCTGCATTGCGCGTTGTATCCGTTGCGGTTGCTGTTTTAAGGACTGCGATTATGAGGAAACATTCACCCTTGATTTGCTTTGTTTTAATTGTCGGAAGCAGATGGGCGGCTCCTCTTCTAAGCACGTCTTTCACGAGACAAGGTATCAGTTATGTTTTCACGGCTAGCTTGGAAGATGTTGTTATTCCCTTCGGATACGACAGCGGACAAGACACTTTTTCGCATGATGTAAACCTAGAAAGTGGTTGTTCAATAAGGGCATAGATGCCTAGCAAGGAAGTTCAATATACTCAATGCATCTTAAGCAACTTCTCATCGCAACCTTGATGAGAGTATTTCCTGCTTTGTTGGATTGGAATATTGAGGTTTGCTGGCAAGATCGAGATATCGAACATGCGTGGCTGGTTCGTGGGAGCGAGATATCGAAAACCGATACACGGATGGAAAAGAATTGCAGTTAGATCCTTCCACTGACTGTGTCGAGTAAGCATTTGTTCTTCATTCAAAGGATGAAGGAAGAATGGTTTGGAATGCATTGGAGGTGGCGTTTCGTTCTGCATTAAACCAGGGCAACAATGGCGGATGAGGCAGCAGCAGCAGTCGGATCTTTTCTGGGTACGATCTTTCATGTTGAAAAATTGAAGGATGGCTGTAGTTTAAATCATGGGGCTCTTAATTCTTCATTTGTTCATTTTTTTCTCAACTGGAATTCATTTGTTTGAATCTTTGGTATTCATATTATGCAATGTTACCCCGTTGGACATGGATGATACGTTATCACGGTTACTGGAATTAGCAAGATGTACAAATTTTGATGTATTTTTAACAAAAAATATATAATAATTTCTTAAACTCTATTCTTTTTCATCTGAATTATCGAGAAAATGAATCTTTCGTTAGCTTTTTTTTTTCTTCGCTTAGATTTCTCAAGTAAAGTTATGAGATTCAAATCTTAATGTTTATGAATAGAAATAGGGCTGAGAGCATTAACTCATATTGAATAGAAATATGTTATGGATAGGGTATGTATTTAAAATATTGAATATTATAATATTCGAAATTTTAGATATCTAAAAAATTGGATCTTTAAAATTGTGAATTAGATATATGAGTGATGAGCAGAATTAAAAAAGGTGAAGGGAAAGGTTCAAAGGAGACATAAAAGCAAAGATTGGTGTTATGGTATAAGCAAACACTAGTTTGTTGCTTTAGCCTATAATCTTCGACACCCTAGCTCTCCCCAAAAACGTAATCACTCGCCTAAGCGAGACACGGCCTACTCACTATAGCATTTCAAGTCCCTCCCAACTGCGCCACTCACTGCCAAATAATCTATTAATTGAAGTGCGATGGAAGACTGCCCCTACTGGATTTTTTTTTTGGAAGGGTAGATTTGAATGTTATTGATCAAGAATATACAGAAAAAAAAAAACAAAACAAAACAAATATGTGTCTCATTAAAAAAACTCTCTAAGCTTAAATAGAGAGAAAAGAATGCATCATATCAAAGTCAGAGGCGTCCCGAAAAAATCTCAAACCAAAATAGAATCTCACCAATACTTATCAACGTAAATCCCATTTGGTCCTAAACTATCCAGTCGAAGAACACACATCAAACCAACACACGACCGATATCATACCAAAAACAATAACCTATAGACACAACCGATCTACATCTCCAGCAAATAAAACAAGCCAAACCTGGACCATCCCCGATTGAAAAATAGAACAAGAGCCAACTCCTACAGCTAATAAACAACAGCAGCCAAGCAACACAATATATACACTCCAAAGTAAACTGATCAAACCGACAAACACACCCCAACACCCAAATTAAACATCGTAGTCCTCAAGAAAAAACCATTCTTCACACCACAAAAAACAGTTCAGTAGCAAACAAACAATTCTTCAGTATTACTTCCCCAAGGTTTCAATTGCAGAAGGGCAACGTAAAAAGTCTAGGATTGAACGATAATATAATGGTCATTTGCTCTTGCACCAAAAATCAGCCCTCAGCATAGCCATTTCAAAAATGCAATCTTCCTTGCAACTTCCGTTCTTAAACATGGCTTCATTTCTAATTAGCTAAAGAGTCCATATAAGACCAAAAAAATACCATCCTCCACATTGGCTTAGCCAAGTCCTCCATACTACCTGGCAATGGCAGAAAAGGTGGGTTACTGATTCCGCCTCTTAAAGCAAAGCACACAGAGCCTGCTAGCGGAACACGCAACTCCCCGATTAGCAAGCTCAACAAGAGTCAGAATTCTGTGAAGAATTATCTTCTAAGCGAATCTACTTTAGGCGGGGCTAGGTTTTCCCAAACTATTTTCCAAAATTTATCTAAAACGGATCCATTGCTAGCAACGTTACCACAGAAGTTGTACGGGGCATATATCCTAGAGGGAGACCCAATCCAATCAACCGATCTACATATATATGGACATGCATTGCTCTATTAATCACACTAATAAATTCATCCCACACACTGCATTCTCATTCGACTAGTACTCGTCTGATCTCGATGTTTCAGACCTACGACCCATTCGAAAATGAGTAAAAATCAGTAACTTTACTAGACCTTTTGATAGCCACGCCAAAGATCCTCAGAAATGACACCCTTAGTGACGGAACCTCGATCTAATAGTCCTCCCAAAAATCTATAAATCTATCATCTCCAGCAAAACATCTAATGTTGTTTGTGAAAGAATCATCAAACTTACTTAGGGGAGACGAGATATTCGTCCAGACTGACGATACTTTACTCGAATTGCAAGCTTTAGGATTAACAAGAAATGATCAAGGCCATACTTAGCTACCAAACTTTCTTCCACAAGCTACCAGGTTCAGACCCGAACCTCCAAATCCACTTATTCAATGAAGACCAGGTTTTGACTTTCAAATCAATAACACCCAAACCACCATTTAGCTTTGGCTTGCAAACACTCTCCCATTTAACCTAATGTATAGATCTACCTTCACCAGACCCTCATAGAAAATTCTAAATCATCTTATTTAGTTTCGTAGCCACAAATGCATGCATCTGAAAAATCGATAGATAGTACATCGGCAAATTGACAAGGATTGACTTCATCGATGTAATGCAGAGAGAAGATTCCCCTTCCAGCCATCAAATATAGTATGGAACTTATCTAATATGGGTTGCCAGAGCTCAGGGACGGAGGTACATAGAAGCTTGGGGGCAGCCAAATTTATTTTACCATTAAAGAATATTGGGATAATTACCTATTTAGACCTTTAAATTTGATTTATTTTGGTTTTTCTCCCTCATTTTCTATTGTTAATTATACTTTGCCCCTGGAACTAAAATCTTGGCTCAGTCCCTACCAGAGCTCCATGGAATTCCTCGCTTGGCCCAACGGAAGGCCAAGATACTTAGTGGGAAACCTATCCCAATCACACTTCCTTGATTCTAGCCGATAAGAAATACATCCATCCTCAACACTAATCCCATATAGTTTCGACTTACATGAGTTAAGCCTTAGCCCAGAACCTAACTAGAACACTCTTAAAAGTCTTTTGATGTTTTTAACTGGCTCAAAGTGCTCGAGACCCATCAGCCGATTTGATGGCACATCAAATTTCTTCTTCCGAAAATGGGGTTTCAAATGCACTACTCATAACCGAACCCAAATTCCTTAAATGGACATTGAAATCTTTAATCGACATTGTGGCAAAATCATTACAAAACTTTTAAACATTCTGGATAATTGAACTAGATAAAGTTTTCTTTCCCTCTCAAGGATGCTGAGATGTGGAAAAACTTAGCATTTCGATCTCTTTCTTTGAGCCAGTTCAATCGAGATCTACGTAGCCATTTTCTTTCTTCTCTATGATATCTCGACCATAATTTGCTTTTGAGTTTACCAATTTCAGCTAGAATCCCACTGTTATTGGCGGATGACAATGTAGTCGCTTCCAAAACTTCAATTTTACGTTCAATCTCTACAATAGACTCGGAATCCTTTAATCTAAATTTAGTTACCCATGCGTTCAAAGCACCTTTGATTTCTCTTAACAATGAGCTGATGCCTTTCCTTTTGTGTTTACCATAAATAGAACTAACCAGATTCAAAAAATCTTTATTAGCCACCCCACGCGAAAACCTTTTAAAAGGACATGAACCACTGACAAAGTTCTCCTCCTCTAGTAGAAAAGGATTGTGATTAAGACAAACTATGGGGCATTGTGTATTCCACTAGGAGGGACACAAGAACTTCTAGCGATACTAAGAAAATGTCTACCCTACAAACTGTGATTGAACCACAACCTCTGAAACCAAGTATACGGGCTTTCGGACACTAGAACATCAATCAGACTCTTATTCGAAATGAGTTCAGAAAAATCCCTCGTTGAAAAGCACTTATAGGACCCCCACTTTCTCCTCGTCAAACTTCACTGTGTTGAAGTCACCCCCAATAATAACGGGCAAACCCAAAGCCTCAATGAAATCAGATAATTGGCTAAAGAACTCCATCCTTTCGCCTAACTCAATAGGAGCATAAACATTAATCATCGGCACTTTCAGGTTGTACTGATATATACAACTCTCAAACGCTACGAACCTGCTCTACGAAATTTTCCTTTCGCCTACAAAAACTTTGGATTTCTATAACATGAGTATGCCCCACGATGTCCCAACCGTTGGTGAAACTGCCGAGCCATCATAATTTGACCAACATAGATTATTTATTACCCATTGTTTGACAATTGACATCTTTGACTCTTGAAGGAAAACCACACTAGCTTTACTTGACGCAATAGAACGACATATAACTCTCACATTCTCCGCCATCTCCATTCCTCTTACAATCCATGATAAAACTGAGCAATTCATAAATAAGACAATAAAAACACATTGAGTAAGCAAAAAATCACACCTAGACTATCAACCCAGATCATATGCATACAAACCCTCGAGTCTTCCAACTACCGTGCTAACAGGAGCATCAAATTCAACACCTAATCTTTCACCGACTTCAAAGGTAGCAAAGGCTTCAGCTACGGACTCCAAGCAAGGCACATGGGTAGTAGCAATTGGACTTGGATTTAAGGAATTAGACACCATATCTCCCACGCTTTGCCTCCGCTTATTTTTTTCTATTTTCATCCCCTTTTTTTACTATTTACCTTCTTCTTCTTTTTTTAAATTTTTGGGGGATCTCATATCCCTTGCCACTGTTATTTCCAATTGTAAACACTGGATCTTGGCTGCCTACAGAGTTTGGGCCCCCACAATTTATCCCATTAGAGTGGACAATACCCCCAACACACCCATAGAAGGAACTTCAATATTCTTTATAATTATAATCGAGACATCAAAAAGCCGAAACCCATTTGAGATAGATGGATCTG